CATTTCAACTTTGTTGATATATCCAAATTATTTCGTTACCCCCACCGACGCAGCCCCAAACAGTTTCTTTAGAAACTATCAGCCTTTATTCCTTTTAGGCTTTGCCGATCCGATCACAGAGGTCCTCACACTCCTCGAATTCTACACACAGAATCACATGAAGTGATTTCAATATGGAATATGGTTCATGGTTATACCTTGCATGGGTTTTGCTTTTATCTCTCTTCTAAGATTCGATTTTAGTTGTAATCTACGCGGAATCAGACTTTCTTTCATTGATGAATCCTGATTCTCACCGGACTTTGTGGCACTCAAAGCGTAAATTTTGTGCCTAAAGAACCTTGAGAAACTTTGGCGAGGAGAAAAAGTGGAATGTGGAGATCAGCTAGAAGAAGTGAACACGATGCTCATTCACATCGACTTTTTATCCTTTATGGAGGCAGTGGCTGAGGCAGCTCCTCAGTTTATTATTCAAATTAATTTACGCTGCAAGTGTCCAAGAGGAACCGGTCAAAGCAATTCAAATTATTCCTCTCGTGATATCGTTTTTGAGTATGACTAAGTCTTTCTCAGCTGCTGATCGACGAATTCGTTCTCAGGGGAGAAATTAACATCAAGTTTAAGCATATGGTTGTGTACCATATCACAAACGTTTTCCTTGTGAGTAATCGACTTTTTGCAATACGTTATGTAATTATGGTGGTTCGGGGATGGATTTTCATTCCAATATTTACGCACAATTTGATTCTTATGTTAGCGGATGCATTCCATCATTGCAAGATCAACTGCAACTGCGACTGGAGGTGTGTTGCTGTATCCGGCATATTCCTTTTTGCTCACTGGATTCGAGATAATTTATCCGGACCACATCAGTCAGACGACGACAGAGTCGGAAACGACTTAAAACAATACTATGGATATCCAATGTCATGTTCGTTGTGGAAAACATAACCTTGGTCTCACTTTTCTATAATTACAGCAAATTTGTTGTAACCTGGGATGCACTTCCACTCACAGTGTACGTTTGTTTATCAAGTATTGTAGGCGCCACTATCAGACTCATTCATTTCCACTCTTTGCTTAAAGATCAGGTGCGCTCTGAAACGAATGCCACACACGACCAACCAGCCTTTGGCCTTGATAGTGGACTGGAAGTGCTAAATTTCTTTGAAATGGCTTCTGCAGCGGCGGGGCTACGATGTCCTTGATAAATTTTTGGTGTTTGGTGGGTAGACACAAGTAACAACTCTGAACAGTTTCAGGTATTTGGTATGGAAGCTTCAACTATGTTTTGGTGCGATGGTATTTCGCAAGGAATAAAAAAGGATATACCGTCATGCATAAGGAACCCACTCGCCCTCCTCCTCACCCTACCCTGGGCAGGTCTGAACAGTCTGGTCGTCTAGTCTGCAGTTTTCTCCCGACAAGTTCGTCAGACAAATTTATTAAAATTGATGCTTCCAGCGTTGAATAGACCAGTTTAAAGTATGAGCATATTTTACCTGTAGTGCTATTTTACACTGACTGATGCATGCAATATTATAGGTCACGTGACCGAAATGTGATTTCAACTGTGGACAAGACCATTAATCCTTATTGTGTACCAGCTGAGTAATAAAACGAAATAATGTGTTAAGAAAACGTTAATAAACAACTAAGCTTTTGACTGCGTTACGAAACCTTCCAAGGGGGGAGGTGTCATAAAGGTTGTCACTTCCGGCGACAACTCTCACACGTGGACGCCTATACAGACAATGACGTGCCCCGCCTCTAAACTCTACACTGAGATTTTGTAGACCGAGGGTATATCGAGTGAGAGCCCCGGGTACATCCGTGATCTCAAATTTAAGCCTAGCAATCAATGCATAAATTAACATCGTTCAAACATCGTTTCCAGGTTTCTCTCTCTTTCTTCAAGGAAGGAAGTAAGGGGATCCTGAAAACCTCTCAGGGGTACCAAATAAACAATTTCTCGGCTCTGTCTCATGTACCCTATGTTTGTGTCTGTTAATTGAGGCAGCACACTACAAGATGCTCGTCTTGTTGCCAAAATAAAACAAAAGTTGGCAACTACTAACCCACTTGACAACGGAAACACAAAATTAAGTTCTGCATAAAAGCAATTTTATTGCTACAAGACACTAAATACGCTATACACAGTTAAAAAAATGCCGAGATAAACCCACGCAAACGGGATTTAAGCAGCAACCCTTATATGGTATTTTACAGTAGTCCACTCTAAACAAGCTAAAACCTTGTTATCAACAAAAAAAAGTACTGAAAACGATTACCACCATTCCTTTTAAGAAGTAAAACTCGTTCCTTTTGATGGCGACCGTGATAGCAAATGCTTGGCAGATAAGTCCGCTTAATACTTCGAAAAGTGTAGCACATACTGTTCAAATTGAAATATTTTGAAATGAAACAATCACTTTTTCACGAGACTAACAATCGCCGACATTTTTCACACACTTCCTTTTTCGGTTGATTCACTTTCTTCTTCCAGGAATTCCCAGTCGAAAATCTAAAAAAAAAAAAAAAAAATTCTCATCACAAGCAACCATTGATCCTTTCCACCCCGGCATCGGTATGCAGGTTCTCTACACTGCCCTTCATACAATTCATCTGGTACTTGATGAGGAGAATTTATTTGACAAACAAAAGATCATTTCTTCTATTCTCGTGACCTTAATATTTGGTTCAATGCCAATACGCTGGGGAATGATTAGCTACTGGTCAGTCTTGGAAGTTTATGACTTAGAAAAAATTCCAAGTCCCGGCAACTCATATCCTCAGTTGAACGTTGAAGGGGAAGAGGCATTTTGAACTAAAGCCTCGACGGGCTAGTGCAACTTAATAGGCCTGAAAAACTTACTTGTGCCTTTCTATACCAAACTGCATTAATAATCTGGGAATAACCTATTAAACCCAATCCTCTCTAGAGTCACACAGGGTGCAAGTTTGAGGCCGCAGAGCGCGCACCTTGACATATTTGAATTGAGTTTTAATCTCTAAAAGATCTTGGAAACTGCCAGTTTCCCGGCCATTATGAACGTTTGCGTGTTTCGTTATTTGAGGATTTCGTGCACTTCTTGCATGCGGCACGGTCTGTATAACCGCAATACAAAAGAACACAAGAATCAGAATATTACCTCCGTATCATTTATCTGATCCCTCTTCAACATGTTTAATAGTCCAGCCAATCTGCAAGGCACAGAAGTCAGATAATCAATTAAGATACAATGTTATCTCAGTTAGGCTTTCTTCAGTTTATCTCCTTATGGGGCATTCCTACCAGAAAATACAGAATCCTGGATTTGACATCTGCTGAAAGAGCTCCTTTTCTGATTCATCATTTCGAGAACGTGTCTTAGCAGTGATGCAGTAAAATACCACTGGGCTTTTACGTAACTTTGCAAGATGTTCAGTTCTGCCTTAAAATTCTTGAAATTTACGCCCACTAGTAGGTTTATCTGAATCTAAGTAGCATTGAACCAGTCGAAGAGACGATTTAAAGCTGTTCGCTTCCCTTAGACTAAGAGCAGTCTTTTCTTTTCGGCGAAGTCCGTCGGGCGAGTAAAAATAAAATTATGTTAGCGCACCGCGGGAAGCTCTTAGAGTGAGGCGCTCAGTCCAGGGCTCCCCGCAGCGCACTAACATCAATTTTTTTGGAGGGACTGCTCCTAGTCTACACCCCCCCCCCCCCATTACATTCGGTTGTATAACAGCTAACATCTTACAATTACGATCTGACTTACTTTTCAAAACTCTTTGAGCTCTCCTCTATTAGGACAGTAGACTGCGTACTGCAACTGCGAGGACAAGAAACATAAAAACAAATAAGCGTTCTTGATTCTAATAAAGGGCTCAGACTCTGCCATGGGTAACAAGTCTGAAACAGAAAAAGTAGCAGTATTAACAGAGAGCATCGTTGTTTATCTAGAAGAGAAAAAAAGAGAGACGATAGATAGGAATTTAACCAAGTATGCGAATGATGTAGCAAATACCTTGACGCTGTAATCGAAGAGAAAGATGAATATGAACTGCTCATCGAACGGCGTCGTTCATCTTCTCGTCGTCTCTAAAATCAGTGGTAAAAAGAAAAAACCGAGCCAATCAGTTTTAACTCGTCAGTGATCCATTTTTAAAGGAACTAAGGAGCCCCAATAAGAGTACTCACGCCGCAAACCAGGAAGGACAAAGTCACTGTAATACTCCAGTCTCTCGCCCAACTCAGTTCTATTCAGAACTTTCATACAAGTGCAAAAGCTATCTTTAATATTAAATGAGAAAAAAAAAAAAGATTTGAAGGACAACCTTTGACTGGAGAAGCTTCCAAAGGTCAACTTGTCGCTGTTTCTGCATCTGGAAAACAAAATCGTCAATTGCAATCAAGAATGGGGAACAAAAAGTCACTGCCTGCTCCATCCGGGAGAGTTTCACCCTAGCCACCTCCATGGGAGGTGGCTCTCCCATAAGCCTGGTGGCTTCTTGGGTCTCCTCGCCCTCTAACTGTTATCGCTATAATTAACTATTTTTTAATTATTAAAATAAGGCAAATAAAGATGATGATGATGATGATGATGATTAATTTCCTATTTCCTTCGTCTGGTACATATCATTTAGCATCGGCTTAGCAAGTGCTAAAATGACGGGTTTACCGGGTTCATACTTAACAACTACTGAGCGAGGGCACGATGATATCATAAAAAAAAGAGCCAACTGCTTAATCATGAAGCATCGGGAAAACGCCAAAGACCACGTCACGATTGGTTGTAGTTAGGAATCTGATGGTGGAGAGGGCGACACAAGTCTCTGGACCAGTCACACAGCGAAGTAAAAGTAATCCCCGAATACTTACAACGCTCAATTGAAAATTTATCTATAAACTAACCTCTTTTAGATCCTCCGCTCTGGTAGCAAGTTTAGATTTGACTGAAAGAAGACGTTGCATCAGCCTGCGCATGTCTCTTCTACAGACCATTACTTCACTAGAGAAAATTAGGAAGAACGCAAGAACAGAGCATAAAATCACAACATTTTACGACATCAAAATAAATCTCCCTTGAAAATGTTATGCGCAAGTGCTGTGTCCTTGACTAAAATCGAAGTAATACCCTTCCCTACACATACCGGAGGGTATACCACGAGGTCACATTTTGACGAATAATTTGACATTACCTCTTAATTACACAAATCCTCTCACCTTAAATTGGACAAAATCTCCCTGTGAAGTTTTTCTCTCTGTGCCAGGATCTGTAGGATTACTGTAGCCATATTTTCACAATCTGCTGGTCTTCTGTCGCCTTTAAACACAAGGACAAGTATTATCTCGGGTAATATTGAAAAACTCTTGGACAGACCATGGGAAACGCTATCCACTGCAGAAGAGAATATAGGTGAGGAAACTAGCCCCCAGTCTTTCCGCGCCGACGATCCCCTTAGAGTGAGCTGAGCCGAGACTGATTTTTTTTTTGTAACACAAGAGGCAATTGAAACTTACTTTGTCTAAGGTTCTCATACAGTTGAACAGCACGATCGTACCTGTGACCAAAGGAACGTATGGAACAAATTATTTAAATAAAGACTTTGCTAGAATGAATAAAACTAAAGCCAATTCTACTCTCTTTTACAATGGATCCGGGAAACCTACGACTCCCGACTGCAACACAATGTTGTAATAATCAACTGATAGCAACACGCTATAACAACACACAAGAAAATGTAAGACTTGATTTAGTATTTATAGAAAAAGTTTCCACCTCAGTTTATCATTTTGCGTTATAGATTGCGCTGCACTTGAAAATGTCGTCTTTTGCAACTCAACCACTTTATTCTGAAGCGCTGCTATTAATTCTGTAAGTTGTGTTACATCATTCTGAAAGAAATAAAACCAGTATTTTTCTGAGTGGCAAAAAGAGTCAATTACATACTTTAAAAAATAAACGGTGCTTTTAAAATATCACCCATCTGCCCAAATATCTGAAGAAGGATTTGAGGAGTCGGAATGTTCGATAGACTCTCGACTATGGGAACAATGCGAATCTCCGTGATAAATTCTCGTCCGCTTTACACATTGAGTATGACAAACTCTTCATCGCAAGGCAGTTTAAAAAAGTAATGAAGACTGGGAAATAATGTTTATGAAATTATGGCAAAGGATCTCTTCCACCAACACTGCGTTGAGCGATCTCTTACCTCCCCAGAGAACACGGCAGTTGAGAACTAGGTGGCATAATTATATTTTGCCTAAGCTCCAGACAAGCCGTGTTAAATCAGTTTTTATTAATAGATGTCTTTTCAATAGTAATTAATACCTTTTCTTTTTCCTTATTCATTTTATTCATGTTATTCATGTTAATTATAGCACGTCTGTTTGCACAATAATTCTTAATAAAGACCTTTATTATTATTATTA